ATACCCGACTAAACTGAATACAGGCAAAAAAAAAGAACAATAACAGCCAAACATGGATAGATTGTAACAGAAGTGAATAAAATGAAACGATTAAGTAATAATAAACCAAAATAAAGCGAGTAGGGGAGGAATCAGCAAAACCACAGAATTCAACAACACGAACAACAACAAAAAACAAGCACATTTCTTTATTTCAAGCTCATTATGACCTTTATTTTAGATTATATATGTTTCGTTTTGTATCTGCTCTACTCTTCCTCTCTCTCTCTCTCTCTCGCGCCCTCCCTCGCTCTTGTCTCATCTGTCAGCTGGTCACCATTTACCCACGCCCAACAGATTGAGTAATCTCTATAATCATTTTGAACGAATGAATGAATTGAATGTTGTTGTACAACGTTGTTGTACCACTTTGCACGTGTTAGTTAGTATCTGTGTCTCTGTGTACATGTGTGCATAAAGCTGTATGAAATGTAGGACTCAATTTCTTTGTTAAATCTTTATTTATTTATTTATAATTTTTTATCCTGTCAACAGACAGAGAGAACAAGTTGTTTTAAACAGTTTAAACATTCTCTTCAATTTAGTACACAATGGAATGAATGAATGAATGAGTGGATGAGTGAATGATTTAATAGCAGAGGAAGGCAGGTAGACAGGCAGGCAGACAAGAGGCAGGGAGAGGGGCTAGCGAGAACTAGAAATAAACACAAAATAAATTAGAGACATTTATTTTTTCCTTCTGTGGGAAAAAACAATTTAAGAATTATTTCTTTCTCTTGTTGTTTTTCTTCGTCTGTTTTATTCATTCACTCTCTCGCTCGCTCGCTCGCTCCCTCACTCACCCACTCATTCACTCACACGTTCACTATTAAATTCACTTTTTTCATAGATTTCTATTGCTCTTTAACTATTTTGGCAGATTTTGCTTTCTTTTGAATTCACTATGATGATGATACAGGTAAGTATGTGTGTCTGCGCGTGCCTATGACTGCGCATGTATGCTGTCTGAAACACATGAAGGTCAAGCATTAAACTCACTTGAAAACTAGAAGAAGAATAGGTTGGCTAGGCGTAAATGTGGACAAGTGTCCAATTCAACACTGAAAATGACAGCTGAACATCAACCATCAATCATCAGTCATCATCATCATCATCACTTGTGTTAACCTTATCCACTTCAGGTGTAAATAACAATTATAATAATAATGATGATGATGACTGGTATTGTTATTCTTATTCTTATTATCGAACAGTTAAATACTGAGTAGAATCGACTTCATTGCCTCTTGTCTATATAATCCTGAGGATTACTTAACACATCATAACACTGTTTTATTGAATAAATCAATAAGAGTATAAAGAGTATACAAAAGAAATGATAACATTAGTCAATAGAATTACTGATTTACTGATTTAAAAATGAGCAAAATGTCCGATTTTCATGAATACAATCAATGTGAAGTGTGAAGTTAAAAAATAACTTATGAGACTATATAAGAACCTCCTCTTCTTACAGTGATTTGAACAATCCTGTGTGTCAAATCAAAAATGAATTAGGCATGCTATTGTCCAGTAAAAGGTCGGGTATGAGGACAAATACTCGCCACCGAAGGCATTGGCTAGGGGTCGCGCTATGTCGTGAATTGACAGAAGTTAGAATTCATGGCCTGGCCATTGGATCGGGTCTCAGTGGCTTAATGGTATACGAGCTCGCCTTGTAACCAGAAGTTTCTGGGTTCAAACCTTGACGGTGGGTGCGTACTGCTGAAGAGTCCCAAGCAAGGTTGACATGAGATCTGTCCAGTACTACCTGCAGGTTTTCCAATGGTTCTCTAATTAATGTTAGCTCATGATGAGATCCTGTAACCAATCAATCAAATCCCTACAAACCAACACTTGGTTATCAATTAAGTTGAAATCTCTGAAATACCCTTTTCGAAAGCTACCAAGATGAAAGAGGTCTAGATTACGGGTCTGTTGTTGATATACTTTTAAATATATATATGACACTAGACAGCTACGCTGTAATATCGTGGGAGTCAAGGTTGCGGAAGTCACTGATAGATAACAATTCGTAATTAGAAGTAAACAAGACGTGCACCGATCAGTTAGTACGGAATAACCGTTGTAATGTGGTCTAGCACTTAGTCTTAGTGCTAACTAACTACGTTCTGTTAGCCCAGTTTGTAATATGCTCAATAACCAAGAACGAATCACCATCGTAATACATTTTCAAGGAACTTCAAGACTGAAGATATCTTGCTGACAAGCGCCAAAAAGCACAAACTTATAGGTCGATGATAGAATGCTTGCCGTCCATGAAAGAGGTCAGTTTCGATCCTCGACCAATATACTTCTAAGCCATAAGTAGTTAACTTTTCGATAGTAAGTAAGACGGCAGGTTGAGCGTGAGGCTATATCCGACTCGGAATACAAAAGAATGATGTTTTTAACAGTTCGTGACAACATCTACCTTGAAAACAGTCGACTCCCTGATAAACCCGAAATATTGTATAATATCATAGTGGATCATTTCAGAAGAATTCCTATTACAAAAGAATATAATAGGGCTAATCTATAGTAGACAAAAAAGAGGATGCTCAACACCTATGAACTCAATTGAACTATTATCTGAAGATGAATTAATTCACCGTAGATTATCAAAGCTATGAAACTTATTATATAGAATTATTTATACACATTGGTGAAGTTTAAAATTATAAATAAATTATTTCATAAATATCACTTCAGAGTGTCTTTTCTAAGGTTAGTTCACTGTAGTATTTTTGTTTCCCCCAGCACTTTCCACTTATTACATAATCACTTTGAATTATCTCTCAATAATTCGTATTCATGCTAATAAGATGCTAATGATTTTTGAAATGATCACGTTTCAAAATCAGTAATGAGTAATTTTCACTTTTCCAACTGAAGATGAATTATAATAATAATAAGTGAATTCGGCCTGAATAATCAACATCAGGGTAGAGTGAATATTACTCAACTAAATCAATAGTAGTAGTACTAAGTGTTGTGATTGTATTTTAATGGAAGTGGTATTAATGGAAGATTCCGGCATTTTATCCAACCCACATATTAGAAATAATAATTGATATTCATTATATAATCGTTTTAATTTAGGAGGAATTTATTTTCTCATTAATCTAAATAATTTAATCATCTACACCGGGAGTAAGAAAAGCGATAACTTGACTGAACTTGAGTTATTTTAGCCTTCTGAATTAAGTGTAGTATCAGTATTATCAACGAGAGGATCTGTTGACTAATTTATACAAAAAAGACAAGTTACTAATTAGGTGTGAAGCTTATTCTAATCATTGAGTATATTTTAAAACCAACTCCATTTCTGCTCATCTGTTTATTGTATTCGTGTCTTTATACCATCAATCCACTGAGTATTTTTTATTCTAATGCGAATTATAGTAAACTAGAGAGATGGTGGGGGAGAGGAGGGGGTGAGGCGGTCAGTAGTGGAGGATAAAGGGAGAAATCTTCAAATAATCCTCTTAACCTAATTTTTTTTCCCTATTAGTAGATGACTTTGTATTTCCATTTTAATACCTGAATATATATTCAAATGATTTATAAATATTCGGATTTTTTAAAATAAGCAAATATTTAAATTAATTGTAAAGATAAATTGTTAAATCTTTAACATCAAGTTAGTAGATATTTCATGAGATAAACAAGTTTCCAAGTATTGGTTTTGTAGGGACCTTTTGTTTGATTGGTTGGAGGATTTCATTGTGAGCTGACATCAGTTAAAGAAGCATTGGAAAACCTTCAGGAAGTACCGGACAGCTGTTTCGTCAACCTTGTTTATGACTTCTCATCAGTATGCACCCATCAACGGGTTAGAACTCGGGACTTTCTGGCTACAAGGCAAGCCTGTAGACCAATAAGCTACTGGGTCCGACCCCGGGGTGGGTGTGCATTGATAACGAGTCCCAAACTGCTAAGTACTCCCTGCAGGTTTTGTAATAATTCTCTAACTGATATCAGCTCATGATGAAATCCTTCAACCAATCAAATAAATAAGTAGATGGATAAATTTAGATTCATCAGTATTAGATACTAACAGCAATCCAAAGATAAAAGTTCAACTGTGTATGAATATAAAACGAAGGAGAAGATTATTCAGACTGTTCTGTGATGAAAAACTATACAAGTCAATCATTGGGATGATGAGTTACAACCCAAGTTCTCAGTAGTGATTAAAGTTATTCAACTAAATCTGTGCATATATATTCATGTCTTTGCATTCCAAAAATGGGAAATAGCATTTCAGCCTTTTGAGTTTCAGAAATAGTGGAGTTGTTTATACAAGGTGAGGTTGCTAGTCTAATGTCTAGTCTTCTTTCTTCCTCATTCCTATTGCTAGGCTAGGCGAGGTTCAGAGATTTATCGATTGGAAATCGAACCAAACTTCCCGCATGATTAGCAAGTATTCCAGCAATGATAGGTGATGACTGTAGGTGAAATGAAAATCTGAGTAGCTGAGATATTCTACCCAACGGCTTCTGAATTAGTAGTCAGTCTCTGGTGTGTTTTCACACCCCGTAATGTTTAATTTGCAAGTGACAAATCCTATTTTACATTCAAATTAGAATGAACTCTAAAGAATTAACATTGTAATGATCAAACTACTGTGTATGATACACTTCAAAGATAAAAACTGGATGGAAAACCTTTAGAAAGTGCTGAAGATGTCACCTGGAAAGACAATGAAAGCTCCTCAAATATACCACCTGATCCACGAGACACAAATCCACCAAAAACATCCAAGCTGGGCTTTTCATGATTTTATAAGCACAATACTCCAAAAATAATAAACGGATTAGGAAATCAGTTGTACTGATAGTGAGATTATGTTGAGTTTCCTTTATTAAACATATTAAACTAATTCATAATAACTGAACAAGTATAAATAATATAAAGTAAAACAACGTTTCATTTATTAATAATCAAATGAAGATTACCTGGTGATGTTGTTCCATTTGTTTTAATAATAATTGTCGTTTCTTATCTTTACATCGTTTATTTTGAAACCAAACACGTATAACACGTGGACTTAAATTTGTCATTTCAACTAACTGCTCTTTCATTAGTGCATCTGGTCTTGGATTAGCAGCATAACATGTTCTTAGTGTATGCAGTTGTTTCTCATTCAGTACAGTTCGAACCTACAAATAAATAAATTAATAATTAATCAATTAATTAATTAATCAAACAATTAAACTAAATAATTGAATAAATTGAAATTTATAACAATCTGTTAGATCGTTATATTAGACCTTTCGATATGTGTATTAGTTACACTTACTATACACAATAAAGCCAGTGTATCTCTAAATACACCTGTGTTTGAATGAGCGCCAATAAAATACGAGTGAACACGAAGCATTTCTGATGCAACAGGTCGCAGACATTGTTAATATGACACCTTTTTTTCCTTCACGTTCCCAGTGGAACATTGGGCCTCAAGCTAGTGGCTTGAAGTTTCTGTAGCACTGTCTAATTTTTACAGGATGGGGTTGCTAGCCCAACCTTTCCTCTTTACCAGGATTATTCCTGGCTTAGCGAGGTAAAGGAGTGCGTCTGTGGCCAGGGATCGAACCCCGAACCATGTGCATGGTCGGCTAGCATCCTAACGGCTAACTAGTTTGTCTAAATATTAGAATTTTATTCATATCAGTGTTGAAAACGCATATGAATCAGTTTGACTTAGAATAACTACTACTCATGTGTAATAAGTAAAAGTTTTATAGCATGTCCGTTGAAAAGATTGATTTCACTTGACTTTGTTTCGCTTCTACTAAATTATGTAACTTCTCTTTATCTTTAGAAACCACTTCTGATTAGTCTTAGTAATTATGTTACATACGCCTGTTATTACTCAGTAATGAGCTTTTGTAAGTTCTCAGTAGATCTAATAACGATTGCATATCCCCTATGAAGAGGATTTCATAGATAAAGATAATTTTCTTCACTGAATTATCTTTTTCTATAGTTTGGTTTGTAAGGGTTAGTTATGTTTTTACGAGTTGATCACGGATTGATATCAGTCAGGGAACCATTGAAAACCACGAATTACTGGACAGCTTTTTCATCAGCCTAGTTTAGGAATCATCGGCAGTACACACCCACCATAGAAGGTTCGAATCCAGGACCTTCCAGTTACAAGGCAAGCTCGTATACCATTCAGCCACTGAGACCCGATTCAGTGGCCAGCTCATGAATTCTAACTTCTACCAATTGGTGATTTAGCGAGACCCCAACCATTGTCGTTGGTGGGACATCCATCCACACACGTGACATCTAATTGGACCTCACTGGTCACGACTTCTCACTAGAACTCCAGGAAACTCCATCCTGTAGCAAGTCACTAGTGAGCATCAGATTAATTTTCTATAGTTTGGTTTGTAAAATTAATCTGATGCTCACTAGTGACTTGCTACAGGATGGAGTTTCCTGGAGTTCTAGTGAGAAGTCGTGACCAGTGAGGTTCATCCAGTCAAGTGTGAGGATGGGTGTCCCACCTACGACAATGGTTGGGGTCGCGCTAAATCACGAATCGGTAGAAGTTAGAATTCATGAGCTGGCCACTGAATCGGGTCTCAGTGGCTGAATGGTATACGAGCTTGCCTTGTGACTGGAAGGTCCTGGGTTCGAACCTGCTATGGTGGGTGTGTACTGCCGATGATTCCCGAACTAGAATTATCTTTTGTTTACTCTAACATATTATTTAGCAGTAAAGGTATGACAGTAATTGTTTCAAAATTTGAAATTTTAAACTTACTCTAGTTGTCTTTTGATCTTTGGATCGTTTACTTCCAGCTGATTTACCAGATGATGGTCTTGACCCAGAATTCCCACCTAAACCATTTCCACCACTGGTATTACCCGTGTGCATTCTAGTCATTCCACGTGATGAGATAACCACACTGTGAACTACTTCATCGCCCAATCCACCAACCCCACCGCCAGTAATGCTTGTTCCACTACTTGAACTACCCGTAAGACTTCCACTGCCACCACCAATTCCAAGCATAAGATTTTGATTATAATTTCCATACATACTATTATTATTATTACCATGGTGATGATGGTGAGGATGATGATGGGGATGCTGACCGTGATTATGATGATGATGTAATCCGGTAGTGTTAACAGGCAAAGAATTCGAACCATTCATAGCTGTACCGCATTCTGATAGACCAGTTGTATTTGATTCACTCATACCAAGTAGGCTGAAATCTTCATCTTCATGACTTAATTCATCACTGCTACCAGACATTGGACTATCTAAATTATTTAAAACATGAACATAATAAAAGTAAAATTAGTCGATTCATTTAAACACATAAAAATTATCTGTCTATTTCCATAGCTTCTTTTCCTTCACGTTCCCAGTGGGCCTCAAGCTAGTGGCTTGAAGTTTCTGTAGCAGTGATGTTTATTTTTACAGGGTGGGGTTGCTAGCCCAACCTTTCCTCTTTACCAGCATTATTTTTGGCTTAGCGAGGTACAGGAGTGCGTCTATGGCCGGTGATCGAACCCCGGACCATGTGCATGGTCGTCGAGCGTCCTAACCGCTACACCACCGACGCACATTTCCATAGTATTCAGTTAATATTTAGAGTTGATGCTCAAGGGAAATAGAGAAAATTGCTGATATAGATATTATATAAAAATGGCAATAATAGCAATAGTAATACTTCATTAGCTAATATTACATGACTGCATCACAGAGATTTACTGTCCCCATTTATTCACAATAATATGCATTTGTTGAATGGATAGTGATGCAAAGCATCGACCTTTGAATTACTGGCTTGGCGTTAATCACACTATCGTTTTGATTTGACACTAGTAACTAATGTGATGCGTCTAGTCCTCTGATTGGTGTAGACTGAATCCTATCAGTTACTGACGAGTGCTAACTAGTATGAAACCTAGGTCCAAGGTTTCCTGCCGATTGCCTCCAACCATCTAGTACACTATCGTTTTATTGTCAAGTGGATGAATAATACATAACTCTCTGTTGATCACCACAACAGATAGCTTGTTAGTCGAGTATTCTTTTGTCATTTATTAAGTTCTTTTATAACAATAACAGCTTTATTCTTGAGAGTTCGTCTTAAAAATAGTATAGAGATTTCACTGTTTTTAATTGCAAGATATTTTCTGTTTTTATAAGATTTTCAAGTAATGCGATGATGGATAATGTATCGCTTGAACCAATACCATCCTATTTAAAGCATGTTCCATTACCCCAAATAAAAGATTTCTGGGCAATTAAGGGGTTTTTCGGGTTTCTTCGGGATCTCAAGAGTTTTTTTCAAGGTACATCAGTCTAACAATAAATAATTCCATTAACAAATACTACCGCGTCTTTTTTTATAGTATTATTACAAGAGGTATAGTTATTGGGCGGTTATTTTAGTTTAATAAAGTAAACACCACGTTTATCGCTTCTAGAGATTATTTCATAATGAGTTGATATCGGTTAGACAATCATTAGAAAACCTGGAAGTAATGGACAGCTGTTTCGTCCTAGTTCTGGCGCTCTCCATCAGCACGCACCCACCATCAGGGTTCGAACCCAGGACCTTCCGGTTACAAAGCCAGTGAGCTCATAAACCATTAAGCCAATGGCACCCCATCCAATGACCATCCCATGAATTCTAATATCTGTCATCTCACGACAAAGCGCGACCGCTAGCCAGTGTCGTCAACGACGAGTATTTGTTCTCATACCCGACTGACTGTATCCCACTGGTCACGACCCCCCGCTAGAACCCAAGTAACTACTTATCTGAATAGGGTCAGTCGCTAGTGAGCATCAGACTAATATTCAGTTGTTTTTTTTAAGAGATCTGATTGGTTACAGGAATTCAACGTGAGCTGACATCGGTTGGAGAACCTTTGGAAAGTAATAATTACTAAAACAACCCTTCTCATTTTTTTAAAATTTTTGATTACATCTTGATTCCACACCGTATTTTTGGTACAAGTATGGAATTTTCAACATGGATATCGGTAGCCCAAATTTTGCAGGCCGACCATAGATATCAGGTGTGCGCCGGCAGGAGATCGGACCCCTAACCATGTGCATCGTCGACGAGAGTCCTAACTACTGTGCCACCACCGCACACAAAAAAGCTGCATTATTCTTCACATTAAAACAGAAAGCGACAACAGTTAAAAGGCATGTGTTTCGTCCTGTTCAAGTCTCATCATACTTCGATTATTATAATCTGAAATAAACTAAATATTTCATATAAAAGTACATCTGTCCAATAAAACAACAAATCACTAAGTCAGAGATGATGTTACCCCTCAATTTCAATTAGTATCTATCACTATACTGGTGAATTTGGTGAGTTTGGTATTTGTGTGTGTCCGTCTATCAATCTGTCTGTGTGTCTATCTATTTATCAATAAACGATTAGTTCACCTGTTTCAAAAATACATCGCCTTATTTAATGTCCATTTTGCCATGATACATATAAATAAATAAATAAAACAAAAGAATAAATTTATCTCATTAATTAATCTAAATATATATTTTTTTAAATTATTCCCACTTGTACAGAACCCGTCTCCTACCCTTACAAATCCACTTACACACACACACACACACCTACATACCTGACCGATCGGTCTACACTGTCTATGAGCAATGATTTCCTGTCTAAAAATGAAAGCTACTCAACTTTTAATTATTACTCTGAAAGGCTATCAACATATATATATATATATATATATATATATATATACATAATTATATATGATAATATAAATTATAAAGTAATTCTTTTTTGACAAGTTTATAAATGTTTTCATATTCACTATCAAATATCGACGAAGTCACACACATGCACCCTCACTCACTCACAAAGAGGCATCCTTCATGACGCTGATGCTGATCGTGATGAATTTATCTCTATTTTTGTGCAGTTTAGTCCACCTATTTTAAGTACTCTCTCTCTCTCTCTCTCTCGCTGTGTTCCTCATTAACTCACCTTTTCATTTAGATCATAATATGATAATTTACTGTTTATTTATGATATACATTTGAATATCAATCATGTCATATCGGTAAATAGTGTGATGAATGTTCCGGTAGGTGTGTGTGTGTGTATGTGGGTGAGTGTGTGGAGATAGTAATGAATGCTATCCTACTGATGTATGAATGAATTCCTCTTGATTTCATTTATTTCGACCTTAGTTATTTATTTATTGTTTTTACTTTCATCCTTACTGACCTGATTTTAAAACAATCTCATTTTTATTTTTAGGGGAACAAATCATTATTGATGTATATTTTCCCCCTGATGATTTCTGAAAGCTAATGTGTAATATTAATTAATAATATGATGGGATGTTGACTATAGCTGAGAAAACAAAAACTGGATAGTGATAGGAAGTATCCAGAATGCCTTGGATCCAGGTTTTATGCTTATTTAGACTTAAAAAGAAACTAGTCCAGCCTTTACAACTACCATGGACCTAGTTCGGTATGTTCCCTTCAGTTTTTTGTCTTGTCATCTGTGTGTGTGTGTGATTTTCTCTCTTTGCCTTCATTCAATTCATCCCATAATTTTTTCAGTTATAAAATCAGTTATTTTAAGTTTATTTCCATGCTCCTCCTGATCACACTTGTCATCCGTTTAGAATAACCATTTTACTATTGCATTCTAATCCTGTGTAATTTTTTGTTTCTATGCCTCTTGTAATCTATCTGTATTCACACCTCCTAACTTACATTTCAAGTTGAAAAATTTTTGATTTCAATTTGTTTTCATGCTCATTTTGTTCACACCTGTAATTCCTTCTATCCCTGAGTCTCTAAGCTTCTTGTAATTCATATCAAGCTGAAAACAATTATCACCTTTTATTCAGCTTTAAAATTAATTATCCAGTTATCAAATATTAATTTTGCATAATGTTGTAACTGTTTTCTAATCCTATGCAATCTTGTCTCTAAGCCCGTTGTAATATATATTCGTACCTTCAAACTTTCATATCAAGTTGAAAATTATTATCACCTTCGTTAATATGTGGAATTAAACAAATAAGAATTGTATCCATGTAAACTAATTTATATAAATGCGATTGTACAATTGCTTTTGAGAATGAAATCGCCGAAAAGATATCTTTGCCGAACTTCTTGTTCTTTTCAATCTAATGTTCAAATGGGTATTTTCCACAATTATTTAGACTTGTCTAAAGGATGCATCTACTACCTGGAAGGGACCAATGTAGTACTTTCAGAGATTCGAATCCGTACAAAATATTACTGAAATCAGCAACACTACCATTTAGCCATTCAAGACTGTGATTGACATCCTGTAAGACTGTGATGTTTTCACTGGTTGATCACTACAGTGTAACTAGTATCCTGTGTTTAGTCCTTAGTGGTGAGGAGTGAATTCTACCGGTCAAGTTTACAGTGTGGTTATCAAAATGACCAACTTTCCATCACGAAGCACTATGAAACTCTGGTCAGAATGGCTCAGTGAAAGTGTCTCTGATCACAGTAGTAATTGGAGTGGGAATTTTCCTTCGAGACTGAATATACATCTTGTTGATAGGTGTCAATAAGCAGGAAATTTAGGTCGACAGCTTCTTGCCAGTCATCTCTGATATCCCAACATGGATTCATAATGTACCGTGATGGTAAGTGCGTCAATGGTTTCGGTGACGGCATTGCAAACTCCACTGGTAGAATTCAGTCAGCACTAACACGGTAAAGTTTAACTGTGAATCAGACTAACTCGGAGGAATCTAAATGCTTTCAGGTTGAAAAAAAGTGTTTCACAGATGTTTTATATTTCACACCCATGAATTATATTAAAGATGTTACTGATAAGTATACAGAAAAACATCATGTTCGTCCAATGAAGATGGTTGAAAAAAATCTCACCACAACACTTATTCCCAATGCATCCCGATAGATATTTTCACAACGTTTCCACAAACAAGTTTTTAGTATCAAAGGTTAAACAGTGGAATAAGGAAGTCGATATTATTTTTAAAGTCTTTTCAGTTAGTAAAATGATATGTACTACTGATGAAAATGACTAATGAGTAGTCAGACTGAAGTGAATTTTCACATAGAACTGCATTCGATTCTGTAATTATCATTAACTTAAGAAAAATGTCAATGATTCCATTCAGCTATTTAGTTTCTGCTAACTATTGTTATCTGTGGGCGGATCACTTCAAAGGACTCTTGAACCGACCATCACCTGCAACCCGTCCAGAAATACCAACAACAGCACGTACACAACTACAAG